TGGGCCTCCGTTTCGGATTCCGGGTTTAAGTTCTTTAGACAAACCCTACGGGGGCTCGGTAAGTCCCCCCGTATTTGGCCCCGAATGTCAGGTTCCGGCGACATTAAGTCACGTGAGTCTTCGATAATCACGTGGCAAATATCTTCAGACTTCGTTCGTAAAACAAACAAATAAGAAATCATCAACAACGCAGCAACAGCAAGAAAGGGGCTATTCCAATGATACCGGAATGACTTGCATTCTGAAAAGAGTTCATTCCATCTCTACTAAGTCATCCCTGTATCATAAAAACAGCCCCCTCCCCCGCCCCCACCCACCCACAAACACAAACAAATAAACAAAACTTAAGTTGTTGTTTACTTTATTGTAATTTTTACTCTGACTTAGAGAAGAAGTTCGAGATAAGATCGATCTAAAAACGAAATGATTCAAACGCCTGTTTAACCGTTAGTTTATATAAAAGTAAATACAGTAACAGTCAATCATGCGACCGTGAATAGTCACAACCGTTCTATAAATAAGCTCAACCAACGTAATAAAATAAAAACGTGTCATGCAGTGATATAGCTTAAAATATTTTTTGTAAATATTGTATAAGCTGCAACATTTTTGTTTGCTCAGGTTGCGATCTGTATGCATGCTCTGACCGTTTCACTGAGTACCAGCCATATTTTCCCTGATTAACAAATCTTGCGATGACAGTGAGTGACAGACCTTCTGAAAGCAGTCAACCAATAAAACAACAAAGCCAGTGAAAAATTTCTCCAAAATATATTTTTTAGTTGAATATAGTCACTATTATTATATCAATATATTATGTTTGTACTACAGTGCTCCGTTTTTTGCCTGTGTAAACACTTATCGACTGCTGGGCAGTTTATTTCATCCTATTATTCGACGCTGTAATGCCAACTAAATAAAACAAACCACAATTTAGCAGAGGGTCTCAAATGGGGTGGTTGCTTTAAATTTTTTCCCATTTTGAATGGTCGACCGTTAAATTTCAGTTAAAGTTTTTGGCGGTTATTTAAAAATGGAAACTTACTCCATATCAACTTCTGCATAAATTGATATTAGCTATTGTGTTTTGGAGGTTGTCTTGACGTTTCAATCGTAAAATTTCGAAATATTTACAGGTTTTTTCGAGATTCTTTACTAGCCTTGTATAAGTGGCCCCCTATCCTAAAACCCCAAATTTTTCTACTCGATTAGCTTTGTAGCCTGCGAACGCAGACATATTTCTGGTCGTCGCCTCTCTCCACCAGAAAAACTCGGGAATCTCACGTAAATGACCACCTTTTATAAGGGACCAACCGACCTTTTGTCTCATTGAACTACATATATTGTAACTTGCAATTGCACTCAATGAACTCATTTCCTAGTAGGTGTTTCGGGACCTCTACTTAGAAAAGCGACCACCACAAAGTCTTCGCACTTTGGTTGGTCGCTTATGCACTGGGTTCGACTGTAGTTGAATAATACCAAAGTACCTTCATCTACAATCTTATGTATCTGGGGCACCCAACGACTGTTTTCCGTAAATTATCTGGAGAAGCAAATATTGCCTAGAATTTTCTGTTACCTGCAGACGGCTAAAAAATTCTAGTTGACCCTTCCATTCATGTACAGTCTTTGATGCTAATGTCATAAATTCTTTACGATTTTCTGACCTTTCATTTTTTACACTTCATTCACCAGTTTAGGCTATTTTTCATAGAAAAAGGAAACCTAAAATTTTCGGATTCAAAAATCAGATGGAGAGAGGAATTAGAAAAATTCTCACTTTCGTAATATGTCAAAAATTGCAACTGAAATTTTCGGGAAAATAATACTGAAGCCCTTGTAATTTCGAAAAAGACTCAAGTTCCCCTTAGGATGTCGGACCGAGCAGATACAAATTTTATAGCGCCGTTTTTATTACATTTCTAGAGATCTAAAAGTATACTTTGGATAACCTAAAATGTGTTTTCGGTGTCTTTAGAAGGAAACCTTCGTTGGTTGCCCCTGATTTGTCTAGGTCAGCTTTGCCCCCATGTGAGGTAATCCAGCCCCCCAGGATTCTGGATTCCACACTGTGGTCGCTGTGGCTTCCGGATTCCAGGCAATGAAGATTCGGATTCCTTGTCAGTGGAATTTGGATTCCGGATTCCAATCGTTTGCAGGATCCATGATAATTCCAGCTGGATTACAGATTCCAAAGCCCAGGACGCTGGATCCCACAAGCAGAAATCAGAAAAAAAAAATTCATTCTGGATTCCACAAGCAAAGATTCCTGATTCCGGAATCAGCAGTACCTGACACGGGGCAATCAACTGACAGTTATTGGATTGTGGGGACTCAAGTGAGTGCAGCGGATTTCGCTGGCAGAAGAACTAGACAAAGGACAGAAATTCGAAAGAGAATATGATACTCAAAAGTGGCTAACTTGGTTAATAGACGCACAGCGTCTTGGGTGAAGGACAGACCGCTACATAGCAAGACTTTCAACAGGTTCGATCCATATGGATTCTGATTTTTTCTTACAAATAATTTTCTCAGCTGCTTTCCTGAACTCCTGCATTCTTATAGCATAAATAAGGGGGTTCAAGATAGGACTGAATAAATATAATGCGTCAAAAGTATAAGAGATACGATCATCTATCGTTGATGAAACTTGATCTAGTGACAAGTGGTTAATTGTGGCATCCCAAAAAACGGCAGGAAGAATGGTCAGAAACGAGGCCACAGTCATTATAAATAAAGTTAGCGATAGCTTTCTCTCCTCCGAAAGTAACGAGCCAAAATTCTGTGCCGAGTGAGGATGTTTCTTGACGTTTAGAATAATCCTAACATAAGAGACGGCGAGAATTAGAAGGGTGATGAAAGCGAAAGATGCATATACGTATGGGAATACAAACGACAAACGCAAAAAAAGAAAAGCAAACACAAAGGCTAGAAGGAAAGCCAGAAACCAACTAAAGGCAATAATCCTAAAGTAAACCTTTCCTACAATAAGGCAGTGCTTGAAAGGATATATTGTAGCGTGTAGCCTTTCTAAAGAAATCAATAAAATATAGACTAAGGAGGCTACCGGAAATAGGAAATACAAAGTCAGTAACATAAGTTCTTGCCAGCTGAACCACTCTTCTGTAGAACATGGCAGGTACTTCTCAAGGATAGCTGGTTCCAATATGAATAACAGGCCTTCAGCTGTTCCAAATAGTAAATCAGCCACAGTCAGATTTATTATCAGGTACGTACTGTGTTTGCGTAATTGGTGGTTACTTGCAAAGGTGGCGAGTGTAAAGGCGTTTAATAAAACAATGAAAACTATTGCAGTAACATAACTTGCAAACCATATCCGGCATTCTTCTGTTCCAGAAAGCACATAAGAATCATTGAAAACACTGCATTCGTTCATCCTCAAATGTACTGTTTATCCAACAGTGAGTGTTGCTTTCTCTTCCATTCACGTAACTTTATTATCTAGGCAACAGTGGGAAAGAAGAATGTTATAAAACAAAAAACCTAATTTACAAATAATGACCAATGTTCAAGGAGAAGGAAGAACGGAACCATGGGGTTAGTGGATTTCAACGACGAGTTGGGAGGGGAAACACGCATTGCACGGCGTTTCCTGAGACCTAGCTTAATAAACAAAAAAATAAGTATCTTTAACGACGACAGAACTATTCTTGGTGACCGCTCTAGCCTGTCAGGTGACTTTTATTTTTCCAAGATAATAATCACAGGTGACAACATGGAGGAAGATCGTCCAGTAGTTTATCCATATTCTTCTCAGAGAGACAAAATCCAACATTTTCCTCATTCTCCCTAACAAGATCTGAGTCGCTCTTTTTGCTTCGAGCACGAAGTGCAGCGGCGGTCGCTTGATTATTTTGATCATTTTGCCCGCGATCATCTGTACACATTTGAAGTACTTCCTCCACTCTGAACAAAAAAATCAACAAGGGACGCTAATTTTAAACCTGCAATCACTTAGACAGAAAAAAATAATGAGAGAAAAGACGAAGGTGCATTACACGGTTTTCAAGTGTATTTAATCATATAAAACAGAGGGTTAAAAACGTTGCTTACTTTGCAACAAGTTGGGCCTTCACTGTTAATCCTTTCAGGCTCACTTTCTTCCTAAAAATAATTGCTTTTAATTCCTTCACATGTATCTTTTCCACAGGCCTATCCATTATGAACTTAATACTGTTCGGTAAAAAGAACATACAGTGAAACTGAGTCTAAAACATTTTCAAGAAGTTCAAGTTCAAAGTCGGAAATGTAATATGAGTTCACACATAAGTACATCGCAATCGTGATTTTTCCTATCATCTACGTTCCGATTTGTGTAATACAGGCACAGTAAAAAGCACTAATCTTTATTTTAACACAACGAGCCGACGATGACTTCTTCTTGAAAGTTTTTTTATTGTTACCAGAGTGAAAAAACAAGATAACAGACTTGCATTAGCATATAAACAAGCGACCAGCCCTTAGCAACGGTTGCTACCGAAAAGCCTCGCTTTGGTGAGATCGTCGCCATAGTTGCAATCGGTCTATTGTACATGTCTTGAAGCCACCGGACCAAATTAAATTGCCTCAGTGGTTTATGATCAGAAAATACTTCTACGTTCGACATATATTGTCAGAACCATTTCTTGATCGCGGAAACGGCCGTGAAGACAGTCAAAACAACGGACATAGTTGGTCGCTTGATGACGTCATTACTGACACCAACAATATCTTAAAAAGCCACAGCTTGTGTTACTGCGTCGCTCTGCGATCCACGCACGTCTCACGCGCGACAAAAAAATGGCTATGGCTATGGCTAAATGGCTATGGCATTAGTGTAGTTAATTTGTTAGAATTTAGATTCAGTGGTCCCTTTACATATACACGATGAGCTTACAACGTTTACTTACTTTTGGTAAAAGAAAAAGTTTCAGTTTGCGCAACTGACGCAAATGATTTCTTACTGTTAATGATGAAAAGACAAAGTTTCAAGTAAAATACGTTTCGGTTGCTGATCCCATAAAATAAGTATTGTTCTATTTCTAGGAAACCTTTCAACAGGATCAATCGACAATATATGGCGAGTAATTATACAAGTAACAATAGAATCAGTAGAATAACGACGTATCAACACTTACGGTCGAAAAGTGAACTCTTTTACTGTCTGCTGTGGTAAAAATTTTTAATTTCCTTGTCTTCTTTTCTCTGTTTTTGACCGATTATCGCCAGGATTTAGAATTGTGCGTAACCTCTTAAAGGAACTTAGCACAAAATAAACAGGTGAAATTTTCTGTCACTAATAACCATGAATTTTAATACTTCAAGTATATATTAGAGGAAGCATGGTAGTGTCCATCATAGCCTAATAAGTGCAACACCTGCTTATTTGAGAGACGTTATTACACACACAGTAATATCGCTTTCGGAGCCAAACAACAGATGAAGTTAATTTTAAAAAAGCTTTCAAAGTGGCGGTTTAATTATTTAAGTAAGCAATGGCAAGTTGACTAAGACGCAAAACCTTCAGATTTCATAGAAACCAACTTTGCCCAGAGTTGAGTTGCTATTCGTTTCTTTCTTAGAACTGTTTTGTGTTTGCTTTTATCTTATTGCTGTTTATTATTTTAATTGACTTTATGCCACGCCCTGCGCTTCTGAAAATGTCAACATGCGAGCTTAACTAAATGAATATGTCGACTTTTCTTTACCTCAATAAGCCTATTTCAAATATTATAACATTTAACATGATGGAGAGTCTAGGGAGGCTTGAAAAAAAAATCGAATAACATGTTTATTCCTTTATCTATCTATTTATTTATTAGCATGTTTATATTTAGAGGGCCACAAGTTTATCAGTAATTGTAATTACTGTCACGTGTAACCCTCGTTAAATAAAGTCGCTTATTATATAAACACCAATGAAATAGCAGGTGAGCTTTCGCACGAAAACTTGATATCAGCACATGTGAAAATATCACCGTTGCTATGGCTACATCATAAATCCCGCCTTTCACACCAAAAAACTATTAACGTGAAATGGCCTGGTATTTCATTGGTGTTTATATAATAAATAGAACATTACATGGCCGCTTGGAGATACGAAATTTCTCTTCCCGTGGTGAAAAAATATTTCACGAGTGAGCGCAGCGAACGAGTGAAATATTTTTTAACTCTCGAAGGGAAATTTCGTATCTGCGCGCGGCCATGTAATATCCTCTATTTATCTTATCTTAATTTTGTTTGTGCCCTCTAGAACTCATTTTTATGATGAATTCTGATCTATCGAAAGTGGCCTTTTGTATTACTGTCCTTGTAGTACCGTCTGCCTTGGCCTTCTTCTTGATCCCAAGTGTAAGGCAGTGCGGATGTTCGCGATGGATTTTAGTAAGGCCTTTGACTCTGTGAGCCACAAACTCCTTGCTGAGAAACTTAAGAGTCTACCACTTAACCCGTATATTAGTATATTATAAATTGGTGGTTAGGTTTTTAACGAGATGGAAAACAAAGTGTTACTTTCGGCAGTTCCGTTTGTAATTGGAAAACAGTAAAAAAAGGGGGTGAGGACAAAACATTTGATTTCACTCCAATTGATAGCTAGAAGCATACATAAATTCGTTAGGAAAAGAAATTCATTTCATTAAACAACAATTATTCAAATTAAGAACATGCATTCATTTGCTATAATAATAATAATAATAATAATAATAATAATAA